AGCTGGGATAGATACAAAATGGAGAAGAACCCTGGTACTGCAAATTCATGTTGTTAAAAACCACAGTTTAGCAATGAATGGCAGTGATTTACTAGTTTTGTTTTTAAACCTCAGAGTTTTAAATTACATCATGAAACTGGGAAAGGGGGTAGCTGACCTTAAAAAACTGCTGAAACACAGTTGCATCTCATCTGTTCCCTAGAAAATATTGGTATGATCATGTATAGTTCAAAAAGAAAAAAACATTCCTCCTAAGAACATCTTTGTTTACCATCTTATTGCAGGAATCCCTCATTAGCAAATTTTACAGCTTTCTTAACTTTCCTGATTGAATGGTGGATAGGTATGCCATCAAAGTCATTCGTCTGCTCCTTCTGCCCCCTTAGCACATTCCACACTGACACCAACTCTTTAATTCAAACTGTTTCCATTTTCCTCTGATTCAAAGAAAAGAGTTGTAATACAGATTCACTGCTGCAATACAGCTATGCATAAACTCCCAGAAACGATACTATTTATGAAATTACAATATTTAATAATTTTAAACTATCCTTAGTGCATAGGATGGAGGGTCACCTAAGAATAAATTAGAATGGTGTAAGAAAGAGGGCTGTTAGGTTAAAGACATCATACTCATTACTTGTGAAATGTGTATGGTGAATATAAGCTGATCACAGAAAGCAAAAGAATGTTTTAAGTTTGTGAATTTTGCAAAGGATTTAATCCCTGGTTTTGCCATGGTGTTGATACATGATGACAGGCAAATTCCTTAAACCCTGTGTCAGGTGTGGGAATCTTAAGGGAGGGGGCAGAGGGAGGAGAAGGAAGAGAAATGCTGTGAGAGCATAAGGTTAGACTGTGCTTCACAAAGTGTATTCTTAAGGATAAGGCATTCAGGTTGCACAGATGTATTCAGTAATGGCATTTCTTAGCTTGACTACACGATGCTGTCACCTACTGGAAGCTGCTGTATTATTTTAACGGGACTGATGGAAACATTTGGGAAAGTTGGAGAATGCCTTCATTACTCATTAGATAGCTATAGACATAGCTTCTTTAGACAAGAAGCTATAGCCAGAACAGCTGTGGCACTGAAACAGTCTGGAAGCAGTGGCCAATGATTTTTTTGAATGAAACAAAAGCCAGGTAGACACTTTCCTCGTGTTTCAAGCTGGAATAAGAAGTAGGTCAAGGTAACATTAGTCAAGTTGGGTGTAGATACGTTCCTTTCATTCTTACCTGTGGATGAGCCACAGATCTGAAAAGTTTGGGATAAAACCAGCTACGTGTGCAGCTCCTGGGACACCCTCTTGATTATTTATTTATTGTTCTGTGCTTGGTTCCCTTCTAGGAAGCAGGTTGCTTCCTTCCAGCAGTGTTGCTGGCTCCACTGGAAAAGGAAAAGGCAGCAAAGCAGATGCTCAGCACCATAATCCAGTAAGTGCTTTAATAAAATGTTTCCTTCTCACTCACACAGAGGTAAGGATGGGAGAAAAGGGAGAGACTTAATTTAGGAGGCTTTGCTTGTGGAGGGTTGAAAGGACAATAAGAAGGTGCTTGCAGGGGAAGGTTAAAGAAGTGCCTTGTTCTGCAGGCCTCCATTTTGTGCTGCGTGTGAGGTCACCGCTGGAGGACTGTCTCGGTGCGCACTGGGTGAGAAGCACAGGTAACAGGCATGGAGCAGCACTGCAGGCTGGTGGTTCAGGGTGGAGGCAGGCCCCTGGGCCATCCCTGGCCTCACTGAAAGAGTGCAGCAAGTACTGTATGGCTTCCAGTAAATAGAGTTAATCCTGTACCTTCTTCCCCAAATGATCTTCCACGGCTGGCTGACTCTGGCCTGTTTAATCTACCTAAGCTCTGCCTGTCTTGGTTGCCTGCTCCCTCTCAGGGAACAGCATTTCCCATCAAGACACCTCTCTCTGCCCTAATCTATGCCCAGTTTTATTCTTTTTCTCTCATTGTTCAGTTTCCTTTGCTCAGATGCCACCTAGCTTTCTCTGCACCTATCCTCCGCTTCCTATGATTTCATTATTTTACTGAACCACTTTCTTTTGCTCATTTCGTGACTTTGTGCCTATCTCTGCACTTGCTTGTTTGCTGTCAGCCTAGCATTGGTGGGACCTACTTCTCCATGCCAGTTTCACAGCTTTTCCAGACATGGGGAGTGGGACTGGCTGTCCTGGTGAGGTCTGTAATAGAGCGAAACACAACTCCCAAGTTTGTTCTCTCGAGTTCATACTCCAGTTTTGCCCCAAGTTGCTGAGAGTCTCTCTTTCGGCTCAAAGTCCCTTTCCTTGCCCAGTATCTTCTCTGGCTTAACAGCTAAAGAGCATGCTGCCTTGAAGGTGATGTGGATGTGAGGCTCTCAGGAACTATTGGTATATAGCTAAGTATAAGAGGTATCATCTTTATGGAAGAAAATTCTTCCAGCTATTCCTAAATAGCTGGCAGTTCTTATTACTGCTTAGCATCTACCTGGTAAAAAGACACAACAGTTTAGATCCTCAATGTTAAATTTCAAGTAACGCTCAACTTTTAGCTGCCCTGCCACCTGGTTGCATTCAGAGCAGTCCGATAAACAGTTCAACTCCATGTGATAGTGGCCATTAGTGTTGCAGCAGACTGACATTTACAGGTCAGAAAGGGAAGCCAGGTAAAGAAGCTGGCACTCAGTGCTGAGACTGCTTAAATGCAGACTACGCCAAAGTACTGAGGATGACAGTATAGCTGCCAGCCAGTGTTTACTGGGGTAATCACCAGAGTGTCTGCCAAGAGCTTGTGCTTATGATCAGGTCTCTGTAACGCAGGAGTAAGGTTGCCTAAACAAGAGGCAGAACTTCCTCAAAGCTCCACTCCCAAACAGGCAACTTTTGCTTGAAGTAGGCATACAGTCAGAATTGCAACAATATGCATACTCACTGACGTAAATGCAAAGGCTGTAACCACTTAACTAGTGGTTATCAGAGGCAATAAGCAATGTACAGAAAATCCCGAGTTTGGATTTTCCTTATTTCAGTATTGTTTAAGTACTATTTTAGTACCTAAGGCTTTGAGCATTTCATTTCCACTGATTTCAACTAGGTCTAAGGGCCTTTAAGATAATTTTGGGAAATACATAGCAGTCTACAGGATCCATCTCGTTTGGTCCATCTGCTAAATCAATAACATTCTGTCACAAAGGCTGTTTTTTTTAGCCAGGCTGGTTCAAAGGACAAAGTTTCATGAGAACCTGGCTTTCACCATGAGATTATTTCCCGATGTTCCTTGCATTCTTCCCACCTTCCCACCAGAGTTCATTACCTCCCATTTTACCCATTTCTGAGAGCACTGCCTATAGCAGTGGCCCCAGGTCACTGGCGTGATCTGGCTTAAAGTGATGTTACAGTCATTCCATTTTTATCACAACCTCAGAATCAGTTTGATAGCACAAATTCGAGACTAGCAAATTTCAGGGGGGGAAATGGTAAAAGATTTCTGCATGGCTTCAAGGGACTCAAAGAAACCTATCGCATCCACAACATGATAACTTCCCTGTCATTCTAACTCCTACATGAATATAGCCTCTTATATCTCACAAAGATTTCCTTAAATTCCAGGCTGGATTTGCCCAAAGACTAATGGGTGCACTGGTGGAAAGGAGGAAGGAGTTCTCAAATGATAGGTACTTCCTGAAGAGCTGAAAGAGGTGTAAGAAGGAAAAATTGTGGATGGGGGAACAAATGATACTCCCGCAACACTTACAGCTATAAGAACATGAAGGATACAGAGTTTTTTTCTCATGCTTTGTTCCAGGATTTGCTGTTCAAGTGAACCAGCATAAATATGCTTTACCTTAAAGTTCAGAAAGAGAGAAAAAACGGAATTCCAGCTGCTGCTAGTTCTTCTGCTTCCTTCAGTGATGCGTCAGAGACAGCCAGGAATCACTAAGAAATCAAGCCTCATACAAATCAAATTAATTTGAGTGCGTTATTCCAATTCAGCCAATACAGAGCCAGGTTCAAACTATTTCAGTGTGAAATTTCTAAATACTGTAATCAGAGATGATAGTGAAAAATCAAGTGTTTTTGTTTAAATTTTGTTGTTTGCATCTCTTTCCCTCTGCAGGTTGTATGATGGGAAGTCCCTCATAGCCATATCTAAATCACCTTTGGATGGGCAGCAATTAGGCTGTCCTTGAGGAAGCAAAACACAGTCTGGTTCAGTTACCAACTAATCTTACATGGTATTCACCATTGTCCTCCAAAGACATTACTATAAAACTGGCATTAATTAAAAACCCCTGCAAGGTCTGGGGCTGGTGCCCAAGAACGCATGCGTGTGGTAGTCCTCTCAGATGTCAGTCACTGCAGAGCAAGGTGCATAAAATACTATTCAGGAGGATGACAGCTCCTTTTGAAATACTTGATTGGTTCCCCAGATTTTTCTTTGGGCTTGAATTGTCCCTCTCTCTTCCACTCTTCGCTCTCATGTCCCCTCCAATTGCCATGCTGCAGAGTAAAAGGAAGCATGAATACCTTGTCCTGTACTTCTAGTGTCTTTGTAGTATCTTGGACTTAAAATAAAAGGAGAATGTGATCAGCTTCTCTTAGGCTGTATGTGTGTGTGTTTCTGAAGGACAAGCAGGAAGATACGAGAAATCCAGAGATCGCAGTCCTGTAACAACACTTTAATCCTCAGACTTTTAGGGTAAGAGAAAGAGAACTAATCAGGAAAGAAGAATATTTAATCTGCAAGAAGTTAAATATTTAATGTTTAGTCTTTAATGTTAATCATTAATCTGCTGAAAGAAAAGAAGCACATTTGTATTGGTGAAGACTTCACCAGACTGGTAATACTGGCAAACCTTGAACTTCTTCAAAATTAGAGATGTGACTGAGCTGTAAAGTTAGCTCTTAAGGATGAGAAAGCCATCTCTATAAAATTGGATACATTCAGATGAATCACTGAAGATTGACCATGTACATATATATTTTCACTCTTATCTATTTCCCCAGAACTTTTCACATCTTGGAGCTTGGAACTGATGGAACTGGTCCCAGCCATTTTTCACCTGCAAGACAAACCAGCACAAAAGATAAAGTTAAAATTTAGTACATAGAAGTGATTGGCCAGTCACATTTCTGCAGTAGGATGACTGTTCCTACTCCTCTTTTGAAGGGTAACTACTGATGATGGAATACAGATTTATATCTTGTTTGGCATGCTTCAGCCAGCTCCATAAATCCTTCACTCTTCTAGTCACAACTGAAGCTGTACAGAGGAATTATTTTCCTCTGTCACAGATGAGAGATTCTGCAGGTCTGTGGCACTCCATAAGAGGGTGAAGCCAATTCCTTCTAGGACTCCTTTTTTTGAGGGGCTGGGGGTAAGGAAGAGAAAGAGTGAAGGGCTGGGGAGTCAGAGAAACAAAAGGAAAATCTGTTGAAGTCCTTGGAGTTGAGGCTAGAAACCAGGCCATAACAAACCAATTAGGATTAGTGACTATTCCAATTCTCTAAAAATTTAAAGTTCATATTCTGTTAATAGAAAAATGAAAAGAAGGATGATCAATATATGAATTTCTGTTAAAAAGTTGTGTAGTTAGGTAATTAGAAGTTATGGATTGGGGAGCTGTGATGATGTGCTTTTTATTAAGAAGGAACAGATACAAAATGAAAATGTTAAAACTACAAAAAAAAAAGGCAGTATCAGGCATAGTCTTAATCTCAGCCAAGACCTAACCAAAAGGTTAAATATGAACATTTTGATAAAGAGTTTCAGTAGTAATTTGAGAATGGCACATGGAGTACAAAGCCTTGAAACATACCAAGAGAGGACAGAGAACACAAGTTACTTCTAGTTTGGAAAAAGACTAGATCTTTGGTCACTCTGACTGTACTGAGATACAATCCAGTCAGCAGTGTCATCCCATGAGAAGGATACCCAACATTATTTAATATTTGAAAGACCTTAAGAGTGTTTTATTTAGCTGTGTTACATATTTCATTTAAAGAGGGCGAAAGCATGAAACCAAAAGTGGTAATATTAGATACACTCACCTATAACGCTGCCTAGCAGCTCTAAACGATCAGAGCCAAAAAAGAGATGAGGTTCCCCTTTAAAATGTGCCACAACAGCAGGCATCCCAAATGCCTATTGACACCATGGAGATGAGACAAAGAATGTTATAATGAGATAAATTTTTGCAGACACATGATCAATCTTCAGGAATAAAAAGCAAAAACTTCGGCTTTTTTTCCTCCCCTTCTTTTCACCTTTTTAATTCTTAAAGATGAGTCTAATGGAGCCATCAGAAAACAGGGGATTCTCCAGAGCCTGTGTGCCCCTTTTGAAGGAACCAAAAAAGCAACCTGATAAATCTACAGTTTTATGTCAAGTAGCGATAAATGGTATCTCTTAGTACTGGTCCTGTAGCTCCTCATCCTTGCTTTCCAGCTGGAATGAGCTGAATGGGTCAACCTTGGCTTCCCAGATGACAATGAGATAAACTACCACCAAACAGTGAGTTGGCTTTCACATGTTCAAAAAACAAAGACCACCTAAGAGGGATGGTCTATATAGTGCTTTCTAATCATCACCTTCATTGTTCCTTGCTTCCTGGTATTCTTAATAGGGAAGGAATGCATAGCTGTGATGCCAAGTGGCATTGGAAGCATCTCACCCCATATTTCATTGCTTCCTCTGTTGTCTCTTTCAGTCGGTTCTTCACTGCAGGGGATGAAATTATTTCAAGTAGTTTCTGGGCAATCTCTGATGATAGCCCAGCCTGTCTGGCAACCTGAGAAAAGATGATATAATTAAGAGTATTCTAATACTAAATATTCTAATTCCTACTACAGTCTAATTGACTTAATCTTCAGTATTATCACCCAAGGTCTATTACTAAAAAAATTACAAATACCCTTGAAGCACTTTTTGCACAACTGTCTTGCTGTATTCCTAACCCATTTATCAACTCGCAGATACAAAGTAGAAGGGATATTTTAAACTTCCAAGCCTCAAATCTGCACTTTTTTTCAGGAGTTCCTAAACAGGAAAAAAAAAAAAAAGAAAGAAAGAAAAAGATAAATACTACGTTTAACCTCTGATCCATCAGATAACTTACCAAAAAAAAAATTGTTTTGAAAAAGAAAATCTTACTGTACAAGCCTGGGACAAAACCAATTTGTATGACGAATGTGGTCACATAGGATCTATAAGTGATACTGCATGAAAGAGACTGTAACTAACAGAAGTTAAACAGTTGCTAGTGTTATTGCCGTATCTTTTTAGCTTCCTCTGTGCCTCTGCCACACAGCAATGAGATAAAGTGGCCAAAGGTAAAGGTCCAATGTTTATCGATTAACATCAAAGTTACAAGTACCTATTTTAACAAAGTATTTCACAAAAAATGTTAACATCCATGCCATCTACATGAATGACATGCCTTTTTTTTTCTTAAAAAAAAAATTTAAAAATGCTTACAGTATTGCACACAGACCAGTAATCCTGCACATGCAGGTGTTAATGAATTTTTCCTTCTTTCTCGCAATGACTTTTTTGTTTAGCATCCACATCTTCTTGTGCCTTCTCCTACCTCCACATCAGGGAGATTAGGAGCTCCTTTTGACTCTGCTTGAACAGGAGATAAACAAGTGGAGCACTGGAGTAGAACAAAATGCTGCGTATGCTTGGTAGCCACAGTGTATAGACTGTGTTAGGGCACAAGGGGTATTTAAGTGGACTGGGGCAGGATTCAAAGACTATACATTGCTTCTATAGTAATTTATGTGAAGTTACTGTTGACTAAAAAGAAGTAAAAAAATACTAAGGAACTGTATCAAGTAAACAACACTCAATTTTTCTAATTGATGTGTAAAATAAATTCACCTATAAAGACTCAGGTGAAAGGGTTGGGACCCCTCACCCACCTTTGGATGGCATACTTCTAGAAGAGAGGAAAGTCTAGTACTTGCTGCAGGGGTGAAAGAAAACAGACACAAGCAAACAAGGAGATGCCTACTTCTCTGCCTTGTTGAACATAGGGGGATGTTCAGACCAGAGACCACCAAACAGTGACTAAATTACACAGATATCCGAGTATGAAGTTTGTTTCTCTGAAGTTCTGCGTGTCCTTGCTTTATCGTATTTAAATAATGATGGATTCAGAGACTATGTGAGGACTTTCTGTATATATTTATGTCCTGGGTCTGGCTGGGATGTAATTTTTTCTTCACAGCAGCTCCTATGTGTTCTGTGTTTTATATCTGTGACCAAAACAATGCTGATATGACGCTAATGTTTTACCTGTTGTTGAATGGTGTTTGCACAGTGTCAAGGCCTTCTCTGTTTCTCACTCTCTGCCTCCCCCGTGAATAGACTGGGGGTGCGCAAGAGGTTGGGAGAGGACACAATAAGGCAGATGACCCAAACTAACCAAAAAGATATTCCATGCCATATAACATCATGCTCAGCAATAAGTGAGGAGGGGTTTTATGGAGGTTAGCCACCTTTTGCTTGGGAACTGGTTGGGCATCAGTCTACCCATGGGAGGTGGTGAGTAATTGCCTTTGCATCATTTGTTTTGTTTTGTTTCTCTCTTCTTCCACTTCTCCTTTGCTTATTAAGCAATTTTATCTTGACCTACAAGTTTTCTTGCTTTTATTCTTCTTTTCCACTGTCCCACTGGGCAGTGGGGGGAAGCGAGCAAGCACCTGTGTGGTGCTTAGCTGCCTACTAGGGTTAACGCACCACAGTTTAATTACATCCTTCAAATCTTGCCTCTTGAAAAGGCAAAATGCAAACCTTTGCTGAAATTCTGGTAAAAAAGGTACACTAAGGTGAAGCTGAAGTGCAAGGACTAGACTCTGGGGAAACAGCAAGACTGCAAGTTTCAGGTTTCAAATAGGGATGTTGGATAGGAAAGACTAGTCATGGACAATTCCTCTCTTCACATTCCAAGAACTTAAAAAATAAAATAATGTAGAAATGAGAGCCCTTAAAGAGGATCTCATGGTATACTAACTTAGATGGCATTACAGCTTTTACTGTAATAAACAAAATCTAAACAACAAAAGAAAATACATCAAAAGAGTACAATTTCTAAGCACATAAAGGGACAACTCAGCCCTGAACTTAATAGTAAAGCCTGGCTCCATCACTCCAAGGAAAGCCAACTTCCCCGAAGTGTTGCATTTCACCTGAAGATTTCATGTAGCAGCAAAACCTCAATACGTACTGGAGACACTGTTCATACTTTCACTACCGTTAATACAACAGTATTAACAAATAATTTGTTGTCCATCCTGGGTATCTCACCACATCCATTAACAAAAAAAAAGGAAATTCTGGTTCTGAGTGTCATTCAAAGCATGACAAAAAAAAAAAAAAAATTCCAAACAGAGCTGCTAGGGAAATGAAATCCACTTTTTTCTATCTGAAATTTTTCAGACCTCCAAGTGATCATTTCACTAAGCTGTCTTCATGTCTATTACTCATCCAAGCCATCAATAAGAATCTATCAGAAATGCAGAAGCACCAAAAGAAAAGAGACACTTACGGCCAACATATTCTCCGGCTGACTGATATCTTCATGCTGCCAAAAGAATAAAGTAATTCAGTACTTAAGAACAAAAGCTCAGCTCTGGACTTGAAAGAAAGTTTTCTAAGAAAATAGAAATAAAAACTGTACAAGTTGCTGGAGAAATTTCCTCAGAAAAAGTTTTAAGTCACCTAATTAGGAATGTATTAAGTGCTTTCTGATACGAACTACTGATCCACTCAGCCCACAGGACTCACCATACATACCTAAAAGGCGGCAAATTAAGCTGACTATAAACTAGTTCTGTTCTTGTAATGGCTCCTGAACCACTATGACCTTAAGTTTCCTGCTATGACTTTTCATTAAAATACACATTTTCTTTCTCTTGCTTGAATTCCACATTTGAATGAAGTGGGACAGGAAGGGTGTCAAGGAAAGGATCAAGAAGTTGGCTTCATAAAATACTGACCTGTGACCAAAAACGTATCCAGAACTCCCTAGATAAGGGTTCCAAGTATCGTGGTTGTGTCATATCAATGGCTGTGATAAAACGCATGGCCCCAAGACTGCCTGGGATTGGTGGGGAGACAGAGAAACATACTGAACAAGGCACAGGATCAGGAACTGATATAGTCTGCACAAATGCCACCTAAGAACAGTCTGATCTTCTCTGTAACAGTCCCCAAACAGTAAAGCGCATGTTAATTCACAGTATCTTCCATGCTAGTATCATTCCCAAGCATATTTCTCCAGAAGTTCCTTTTATGGTTAAAAATGCACATACTTCATATTGCTCACAGATACAGGAAGAGGCTGTGGACAGGGAATTCATCTTCACCCTTACTGTTCGGGAGAACTTGAACCAGAAGTGCTAGAGTTGAAAGATACCAGCTAAGCTAAGTCTCTTACTTACTTGTACCAAGGATACGTTGGAAGTCATCTTCTGAAATCTGTACAGGGACTTGGTAGTATTTTGCCATCCTTTTTATATCCTTCAGCATGTATTCTGCACGCTTTGGCAAAAGTGCTGGGGGCTTGTTACCTTTCAGAAAAAGTTCTGTTGAGATTTTCTACTGTATTATAACAACACTGGACAAACCAAAACTAGACAAATTAGACCTTATCCATACATGTGCCTAAGGAAGAGTATAATTTTATACTGGCTTACTGAAACATACACAGCTTTTCCAAAGATAATGCTAGGGTTTAAACATGATTTATTTTGGTTTTGCATAGATCAACCCATTAAGTTAGCAGAATCAGTTTTAAACCAAGGTACAAACGTCCTAGCAGGGATTTATATTGATTAAGACAGATGACTTTTAAGCTAAACAACTACTAATGCATGGGTAAACAAATGTAGAGATTTGCTAATTTCATGAGTTATAATCTCAGCGATTAACTTGTTCTAATGAGGCCACAAGTACTATTTTATGGCATACTTGGATCCTTCATATGTATTACAAACTGCAAGTGTTCCACAAATTAATTCTGGTTTGAACTCAACAGAAAAATTTTAGGAAAACTTTCCATATCAAATTACTATTATTGTCCTATTTTAGAACTGACAAACTTTGGCATAGACTGCATGTGCCGCAAACAGTGGCTGTGTAGTTGCATAGTGTGAAATTCCTTATGGCTGATTTCTAACAACCCTATAGTTAATGTGTTATTGGTGCCAAAACTTAAAGCTGGCTCTGTGGGCTCTGCACTCACTAAGAGCTTGCCTGCTAGTGTCCTACTAGTAAGGAAGGTATTTCCTTACAGACCTCATCTCCCCGTATTGCCTACCAGTTGCTTGCATTATGCCACCAAGGAAAGCTGGACGAAAGCGCAGATCAATATTCCAGATGTGCTGGTACCGGCAGAGCACCTGGAACATAAAAAAGCAGTGATGGATTAACAGTCAGAGGAGATGTCTATAGAGCTGCATGCAGCTAGGAAATAAGCTACGGTATTAACTAGACACTGCAGATGAATCCTTTTCTGTTGTATTAGTGATAGCCCTAAAAGCCTTTTCTGGATGCTGCGAGAGAACTCTGATCTCAGAAAAACTGAAAGGACCGCGTTCGTATCATGACTATACAAGTCTAAACGGGGTAAATAAGGAAAAGATCAAGCTCATGAGTAAACACGTGCACTTGTTAAACATCAAAACCATCAATAAAGCAAAATGTTCAGCAATAACTCCAAAATACGCCCAGGCCATGCTGCCATTTGGCTGAGATATGCTTCCGTAGCGTCCCTGGTTTTCAACACGTGAGGAAGAAGCCCAAATAGGCCTCACAAGTGAGATTAAAATAAAACCGGAACATGAGGGGGGAAGGCCCGGCGAG